TTTATAACTACAGTATCAGTATCAAGTACATGTCTTGATCACTTTCTGTTCTGTTGTTTTCTCTCTTTAGAGCGGTTGAGGAGAAGCCTCGTGTTGAGAAGGCGAGCAAAACAAAGAACACTGAGAGTAAACCCCGAAAGAAAAGTAGCAGCGAAAGTGAAAGTAGTTCAGAGAATGACAGCAGCAAGAGTGAAAGTAGCAGCGACGGCAGCAGCAGCGAGTCCAGCAGTAGTGGCGAGGAGGAGTCTGACTCAGACAGCAGCAGTTCACAAAGTGACAAGCCCAGACGATAACGAGTTAGCCACTGATGGTGTGTTCGGTACGGTTCAAAGCCTGTTGCTGAGTGGCACGAAGTTGATTCCTTTCTCGTTTGTTTGCTAGCTTAGTGTTAACATCTCGTGCTTAGGAATAGGTCTAGACTCGCAGACGAAACGGCATCCAGTGGCCCAAACTTTATACCTTATTATTGTAGACTTAAGACTCTACCTGAACCTGCTATACAAAAAGGAAGATAAATTTTGCAAACACTTCCGGTATTAGAGAGTCAGGAAAAGTCACCGTTCCTAGAATGCCGGCTAATTACTGAACAGGATTTGAATGTCAGTTGTATTGATAAAATTAAGATCTTAAGTAAGTTCTGGGTTTCTTCCCAAGAAACATTTTTCTGTCAGGCTGCGATGTGACTGTATTCCCGTTCATTCGAAAAGTTTTTATCCAACTTAACATTTTTATAGAACCCGATTACGGTATCTTCAAAAATATAAAAAAGCGATGTGATTAGTTTTAAGAATGTACTCTAGAATTTGATCATTAAAGTCCTTTGCATGAACGGAATGGAATGGAATAGAAATTGTTTAGCTTTAATTATAACAGAGCGGACATAACAGTCCAACATCCTTATGCGTGCGAACATGTGTTTATAGTCAGTATTCCATTTGATAAGTGAGATCGAAAAACTTATGAGACTATAATAGTGTTTTTGCTATCCCATAATGTTTAACTGAATAAAGTTATTATTGTCCGTCTGTCGCACCTGTGGATATCCTGTGAACAGAGAATGACATGGATTAATTTTGTGAACAGAATAACGATGTGCAATTTAAAAGCATCGTCACACGTTCCTCCTCAACCCCCCCCCCACCACCACCCTTATGCCCTTGAATAGGCCTGTTTCAAAATACCGTAATACTCTTTGCTGTCCCTACAAAACTGTGCATAAACATTGTTTTCAGTTGGGACTTACAATCGCCTCAAGAGAATTGGAAACAATTCTTATGCGAAATTTGATGGACAAAAACGAGCATTATGGTACTGAAAGAAATAGGCTATTTCCGAGTTTCCTTGGGCCTCTGTAGCAAAACGAGGTTAAGTGCTTGGCCTTTGACAGGACAAACAAGAAGTTCTTGGTAGCGTTGAGTCTCGCTTGGAGCCCATGCGGCTTGGAGATAAGTTTTGTCGTCAAAGGCGCTGGTGCTGTTATGCCACTTTTTCGTTTTTAATACAAAACGAGTGTTATAATCATAATGTAAATGCTCAAAATGTAAAAATTGCAAGGAGAGACAGGCAGAATATCTTAGCTTCACACCGGCGTGAAACCTTTGAAAACCTTTTACGTATCAGTGATATTGCTCCAGTGAAGAGAATTCTTTCAGGGATTTTACATTCAAAAATTTGAACGATGATACCAAGATACGGCTAGGTACTGTTTTTGTTCAGTATTGTGTGTTTTCACATGATATCATGGCGGCCATATTTGTGTCTCAAAACAATCAAACGGCGGACATGTTTGTGTCCCAAACCAGTCCTGTGAGAGTTAACTCTTCTTATTGCTTTCTTTTGTTCCAATAAATTTGCATAGATGCTGGCCACGTGAGTGAAAGCACAGAATAGGAAAATGTGTGTAAGTTTAGCAGAACCTTATACAACAGACAGTTTTTTCGCGCGTATTCCTGTCGAATTTGTTGTCCGTTTTTTAAGATATAAAAATCTCGAGAAAGTATTTACATTTCCCATGGCGTTAGTATCTACTTTTGATATCTCCGTACAGTTGATGTTTATGGAGTTTGACTAATAGTCGCGGGTCGCGGGTCCACAGTCGCGGTCGCGGGTCCAATGTCGCGGTCGCGGGTCC